AGGCAGATTTCATTTGCTATTTCTGGATACTCATGCGATGGTTAGCACACACAATGGTTAATGTACAGCTGAATTCGAGAAATAATTTTTTCCCTTTATCGTTTCACTCCATGAGGTATTCTGAAAACATCGAATTGTAACTTTTATATTTTTAGCTTTTAATGACAATCTTTGAGATTTTTGATTCAGATTATGGGCACTTTTTCCTGCCTTTATTACTATATCTTGGGTAATTTGGAAGCACACACTTTTGTCTATATAAAGAAGGAACATTTCAGTGTTCAGATGTCTTATATAAACAAAACAACATCAATAAGAAGCTTTAAGATCTGAAGTCTGTCATTGAGCTTTGCGATGGGGAATATCTCTGTTCACTCTAATAGCCATCAAATATCTTTTTCTTGTTTCTGGTATAGTTCCATCAATTCTTGTTCTTCCTCTCTTTGTGCTATTAACTAAAATTGACTCACCTCATTTAACCAGTGCATATGAAGGTTACTTTTACCTAAGAACTGTCCTAGGCTAACCTGGGGACATAGGCAGAGACAGGTGGGAAGCTATAGTGTTTGTGTAAATCCAGGAATCAGTAGTAAAACATTTAGTTTCCTGTTGGGCTAAAGATTTCTACTCATAGTCTATGTACCATGTAGTATTAAGATTAATGGTTAATCTTATCAGATTTTTGTCACATATACATGTACGTTTATATGCACCTATATACATGCATAGAGGTATTTATGTATATGTGGAGAAATGTGCATGTATGCAGTGTGTAAGGAATACCTGCAGTATTGAGTTCATATTGGTGGTAGAAGGTACCGTTGACTGTCAGGAAATAAATACTACAAGTGTACACAATCAGAAGGTTTGTATGTTCTAATTACTGACTGTTGCAAGCAAAAATTCTTACGCTTGTCTATGATTCATAGTAATACTTTGTAAATTGCACAAGTTCGTATGTCTTCTGAGGTGTAATTGCTATTTAGGTGGACTAAATCTCCCCTGATAATTCGAGGTGTGATATCGTTACTCATGTGCCTGATGTATCACACTGACAAGTATGGGTCCAACTTGTCATATTTATGAGAGCTGACATGACCTATGCAGTTTCTAGTGGTGATTCAGTCTACCTAAATAGCAGAGACCTTACTAAGCTTATTTTGACTGTCATGTATTTGCTGTTACATTCTTTAACTTAGTCCAGCATTTGATGCTAACTAAGTTTCTTGTCCTCAGATTTGCCAAGGTCTGGGACCTTGTATGTTGTCTTTGTCTCATACCTAAGCAACTCATCAGTTCTATGAGAACTGACATGGCCCTGAGTTATTTGGGTTGATTCAGTCTACCCTAATAGCAGAGTCATTTTTGAGCTCTTTGACTGTCTTGTACTTGCTGTTACATTCATTGCCTATGCAACTTAGTCCAGCATTTGATGCTAGCGAAGTTTCTCGTGATCAGATATGCCAGGTCTCGGGAACCTTGTATTTTATGTCCTAGTGTCATAAGTCGTCTTATACATTTAATGTTATCTGAAGGTGTCAGGAGAACCCTTGATCCAAAGGAAGGATGACACAGTTGAAATGCTCAAGTCAAGGCTTGAAGCCTTCCACCGACAAACTGAACCTGTATGATATTTCTTTATACCTGTTCATTGATGTTTTTGTCTCTTGTATTATAAATTTTTCATTGCAAGGAAAATTTGGAATTTCTCATGGTGGATGGCATAATTCTCTATGGTTTCTGCTTTTGTCTGACTATTTGTGTGCTCATATTCCTGCAACTTTTATGTGAGAGTTTAGCACAATATAACATGATGAGGTCATACAGTAAATCAGTTCTCTGCCATGTTGAGAAACTCCCTTCTTGCTTGCGTTATATATTTGCAACTTGGACTTTTAAGGCTCTCTGTTTGATTTTTCCCCAACCCTCCCATTTACAAATGACTCCCTCTCCACATGATATCATGGAGGGACCTAGGTCAGATTGGATCATGTTTCAGACTTGCAGAATTAATTTAGTTGTTATTGTCAAATTTAATGTAATCAGTCTTCGTTGATAAAACGAAGAGACATGATAATCAAATTTAATGTAATCAGTCTTCTAGGTGGCCTAGCTCATGCTACCATGGAATGGAATGCATGACATCAAATTGCAACATAAGCTCTTAGCTCTTGTTCTTTGTTGCTTGGCTCTTGGCTAGGCATATAGTAATGTTAGTGGATTCTGCCCCATGCTTTCTTTGTCGCCCTATTTATCACCACCTAAGTTCTAGGCACTCTTCTTATCGTTGATCATCACCAACATTAACAATTTGGTGACGACGACACTAAACATCTCGATAGTGACCACTCTTGCTACGCCTAGAGCAAGGCAGACTAAGTAACAGGGCAACTGGGCCTCCTCATTTTCATGAGAGCCTTTGTTTTGTCGACCTCGATGTAATCTCCTCTATAGAGGTTATCTTTGGTTAGGTGATCTTCAATATCATCTAGCTTCTCTCCATGATCGACGATACACTCATAAAGTTACTTGTTATCTAGCTTCTCTCCATGATCGACGACACACTCATAAAGTTACTTGTTATCTAGCTTCTCTCCATGATCGACGACACACTCATAAAGTTACTTGTTGCTAGAAACGAAAGAAATGTTAAAATTATATTTCTGCTCATTACTTTTACGTCGATCCAATATAAACATTAAAATTATCTTTTTACTTATTATTTTTGTATTGCTCCATATCACGTATTTATATTTTTATCAATATAATTGATGAATAAATAAGATTATTTATTTTACTTTTAGAATTAAAGAGATCTTAATATAAATTTTTGAGGTATATAAATTGTGATGCTAACAAGTTCAAATACTTATAATTACCCATCGTCTTGACTTTTTCTTGATGTGCCATTTAAGAGTGGTCAAATCAAGATCAGATTGTCTTCCTGTTCTTCTGGTCTTGGGCATATTATGAAAATAATTCTTCGTTTCATATGCTTCTCACATTTATTGTCATTTCACGGCATGTGGTTCAAGCTGTCATCCATTTAGTATGGTTCTTATCATGTTGACACTCCTTCGATCAATACAATATAAATTCACATGTAAAACAGCAAAGAAAAAATAATGCTACAAAACAGAGGAAGAAACCAATGAATTCACATCATGACAAATAGAATGTACAAGAAGGTGTTTACGACAACTCTTATTTCCATTATTTAATGATCAGGAAGGACTATAACAGGTTATGTTGCTGTTCTTGTACTACACATCATGCGTCACTTGCAAAAGTTTCGTATAATATTACTGTTATTAACATTATCAGCATTGACAAATGGCATGCTGAATTATGAGTTCTATACCTGATTGTGGGTCCATTGCTTGCAATCATTAGACATGTAAAGATAACTCAGACCACATCTGACATTGTTCTGCTGGCCATCATTTTTCTGAAATGATCTCACCATAAAGTAAGACATCTTCCAATTGATGTAACATAGTTTTGCGTCATTTGCTTTCTCACCACATCATGCTTCTATCCATCCATCCATCCTCGGCTGAGCAATTAGCATCAGACTCCTTTAAGCCTCCATGGCTTTGGCTGCAGAAAGGTAGTGCTGCAATAGGCCTGAGAGCTTAAAGTTATCTGTCCCAACTGCAGGTGCTGTTCACGTAGAAGGGGGTCTGAGTACTTGAGGAATACTTACTGTAGATGATCGGAGCAATGCAATCTCACAGCCTTCTCTGTGAATAATACGCACAATCATTTCCCCACACAGTTTGCATTAGATATCATTATTTCATGCTAAAATAAAAGGAGCATATCCAAGTATGAACTTAGGTCGTTGTTCAATCAGTGAATTCCAGTATTTATTTCTCCTGCATCATTTCTGAGAGGAAAAGGTGAGATGATGACCACAATGAACAATCTCAAGAACAGAAAAATGAGTGGCACTAGTCATCTTGAAAGGACTGGGAAAGCTCGGAGATGACTTGCACCAGGCGGTCAAGTTTGTTCTGCAATCAAGTGGGTCAGCCAAAGCATTTGCATGGGGTAAGTACTGATGAAAAGGGCAAATATAGATATTCCCAGGAAACCAAGTGGCTAAAAGAAACATTTTTATGAAGATATCGAAAATACCATTTGGATTTCCTACCTATTATTGTTATATCTGAGTCCTACCTTTATTCCTTTTTAATATGACAAGTATCTCGTTGTTTAAGTCCTTCCTAAGTAAAATTCTAAGAAATACACCTAATCATAGCCTTTTTTTCCCTTAATTAGATGTGTCTACACGTGCAAATAGTCTTACGCACGTGCCTTTTTCCACCTATAAATAATAATTTCTGTGCGTTATATATATATATATATATCATCGACAAATAAGCTTTCTAAGGACCTTTTTCGATTTGAAACGTCACGTGGGAAACGGATCCTATGGGCCAGGCAAGCCACCATATATGCCACGTGGCACTTATCATTGGTCAGCAGTCGCGGGTCCCATGGAAAGACCCAACGGCGCTGCTGTGAGGCCAATGAGAGTTCCCTACTACGTGTTTGGTCACTCGACCGACACATTGGAGCTGCTCGAAGCTGATGCCGACTCAACAGGGCTAATTATGTATTAATTTCTGTAATTAATTATTTTAATGTTACGATATTTATATTTTTAAAAATTATATTAGAATATATGTATTTATATTAAGAAAATCAATGAGAAAAAAAATAAAATATTTTTATAAATATATAAAAATCTAATTAGCCTAACTCAAAATCTTACATGCAAAAGCATGCAAAAATTCATATATACATCCCCAAAATAAATGATTTTTTGTATGTGATTCTTTATAATTCAGTTTAACATAAAAGTTTTTGAAAATTCAAAACCTTGCAAATATACAAACCTTCACATGCATTAATCTCCATGCGAACCTTCGCGTGTACTCTCCATCAACATACTGTCCTGCTACAAATATATAATTCCCCTCCATCAAACACCCACTGCGATCGCCATCTCTCTCTCTGTTCCGCTCGACGGTTCCTCGGTCCTCCTCATCATCATCTTCATCTTCATCTTCATCGTCTTCTGCTTCCTCCTTTTTGATTTTTCTTATCTGAGACTGATATATACATTCACTAGATCTTGTAAAGTTCCCTCCTTTCTTCACTTGTGGTTGTGGACTTTGGCCTCCGGGATGCTGTCCGCAAAGTCAACCTCTTTCTTCCCCGCCATCGCCCCGCAGCTCGATGCCGGCAGGAGCAGCAGGACTCGCTTGGTCAACCTTGGCAGCTGCCGGCGATCGATCGCCAGCCGGACGGTCCGCGCGGTGATCAGCAGCGACGACAAGAGCGTCGGCACGCTCCCGTCGCAGCCGGCGGCCGTCGGCGTTGCTCTGAGGGCCGCGGCGCCGCCGGGGGACTCGATCGACGTCAGGGTGGTGCTCACGGTGAGGAACAGGATCAAGGAGAAGCTGGTGAGCAAGATTGGGGACCAGTTGGAGTACTTCGTCAATGGGATCGGACAGGGCATCACTGTCCAGCTCGTCAGCGAGGAGATCGATCCCGGTGAGCCAATCGAACATTTCAAATGATCAGATTCATGTCTGGATTGTTTAAATAGGGTAGAAATTTGTTCTGTTTTGCCTTTCGATTTGGACTTCAGATATGGCCAGTTTCATGCTGGAGTGTTTCAGTTTGTCTGTGATAGTTCTGTAGGACTGTGTCTTTTCCTGTGGGGAATAGTTATATTAGGTGCTGAGCTGACACTGTCATGGTTTCCAAGTGCCAATCCCTTTCTCTTCTAGCGCAGAACTGAGTTCTTTACTCTTTTATACTGTTACTGAAATGTGATTTGCAGTAGAGTGTCAAACATGAATGAGTTCTGATTGAGGAAATGACGGCTTCACGCAAGTCAAAACTATGCTTGTTAGGTGATGAATGTTCAATCATAGTACTGTGGTTAAACTTCTCGTCAAGTGATTCTTTTTCATCAAGTGGAGAGCAACATTATCTGATGAAGCTTCCACCCGTAGAATTCCACTCCCAGCTTTGTCACTCCCTTTTGCATTTTTGTTTTTTTGCTCTTTTCTTCATTGAGTAGTTTTGCCGAGATGCATGTGATGCGACACATCTGTGACTCAGAGCTCAGCCTTCACTAAGTTTCAGATGCGAAAAGGTAAAAGGTAGAGCTAAGAAAACCAGTCTTGTAGTATTAGGAAGGTGTTGATATATAATTTTTTTCTGCTATCATGGGATAATAATCTCATCAAGTGTGTTATCAGACTTGACGATTTGTAAAACAAAACTTAATTGTCCTACGCACAATTTTTTTTCCTTCGACAATGAAATGGGTGCTTTTTTTCTGACTTTTCAGTGACCTAACATGAAAGGTTTTCATTGTGTGCTTTGACATTATCAAGAAAAATATCTAGATACACTCAGGATCTGTGTCGGATGATTAATCCATGTACCTTGTTGTTGTCAGATTCTGAATCAGGAAAAAGGAGTGCAGAGGTTGCTGTAAGGGGTTTTCTGCCAAGATCATCAAACCATCCATCACTTGTTGAGTATGCAGCCAATTTCACTGTGCCGTCTGGTTTTGGTCGCCCGGGAGCCATTTGCATCACCAACCTCCACAGAAAGGAGTTCTACCTGGTGGAGATTGTTGTTCATGGTTTGAATGACGGACCATTTTTCTTCCCTGCAAATACATGGATCCACACTCGCAATGATAATCCTCAGAGCCGGATAATATTCAGCAATCAGGTGAGATGGAAAGCAAGTAAGCATTGTACTCATCAAAAAACAATCACATTGTTGCGGTGATAAATTCTGCTTAAACACAGAGTAGAAACAATATCTATGTACGATCTTTGCAACGCCAATTACTGAATCATTAGCTAGGAAGTAAAAACTCAAGAAGTTTGCTTTCTTCTCTGGTCGAAGATGCAATTAATTGTAAGTATTACCTACTGATTTTGTTATCTGATGCCATTCTTGATATGATCAGGCATATTTACCATCACAAACCCCAGATGGTTTAAAGAACATCAGACAGGACATCTTACTCGGTCTGCGTGGCAATGGCAAAGGCGAGAGAAAGAAATTTGAAATGATATATGACTATGCTCTGTATAATGACTTGGGCAATCCTGATAAGGATCCAGATGTTGCTAGACCAGTCCTAGGTGGTTCAAAAAGGCCATATCCCAGACGCTGTCGCACGGGTAGACCACCAACAAAATCAGGTACTTTTTGTTGCAAGTGAGTATAGCAACTGTAATTTAGCCATGCCAAATAGGCCAAATTTTCTCAAAAGGGTGTGTTTTCCAACTTTTCCTTCAGAAAAAGAACAAAGAAAATAATTTTAGCCTGTTTAATTTTCATCCTTCTCTTCACTGCAATTGAGTAATCCGAGCAATAGAATCTAGTGTGACTTCTGTTTTGCCTACTCCGCAAAAACTTCCTACCATCAATATTTCTCCTTTTCTTCTCTTTCTTTCTCTTCTTCACTCAAAACATCCTCATGAGCACTCTCATCGGGCCTGCAGAAACCTCAGTGAACCCTGTGCCAACAGCAGCTTATGCACTCACCGCTCTGTAGTGCATGCGTAACACTGCACTGTCACATTGGCATACACTGCCATCACTTCAACCCATACTATATAGAAATCAAAGTTGGTTTCTCAAGTCTGACTATAAGATGGGTTTGTCTTAACTAGTATATCCAACACTTCCAATATAATCCTATTCTCAGCTGGAAATGGAAAAAAAATTCATTTCTCATCACTGTCACACTCCAAGAATTCAAATCGGACTGTGCTATGGAAATGGCAATAAGAGCCGCTCTTTCCTAACACCGATATGCTAAGGAATAGTAAAGAAATAGGAGTATGGTGAAAATTATGTTATCTGATCTAAGAGATTTATTGTCTTGGGACTGGTTTTGTTGCTTGTGTGAAAGGCTTCCCAACAATTTTATCATAAAAACGTCATAACATGGCAAGATCATCCACTTCCTCCCCACCATGTCTTCAAAGAGGATATAACAACCCAACCATGCATGAGTATCCAGAGAACTTAATGAATTAACTGAGTTCAAGTAAAGGAGGAATTAGCAAGTATGAGAAAAATGAGAGGAAAATGGAAAAGGCACGGTCCTTTTAGTTCTGAGTATCTTTTTCTCTTACGAAAAAATATTATATGCTTCAGTAAGGTGCTAAACCTCTACCAATGGGTCAAATTCAATATTATTCCACCTGTAACATAGCTAAAGCAGCCATATCAATCTTTGAAATCAGAGACTTCATTGAGGATGGCAAGAATGGAGAAAAAGATAGAAATCTTCAATTACCTTGCCTTGACTGCAAAATAAATGGCACTTTGATATCTTTATTCAATTTAATTGAACTATTATATCATGAATTACATTCATTTTAACTTTATAAACAGTATGCAAAAGATTTATTAATCAACTATGTTAAAGTGGCAGTCTTTTCATGTTTATCTTTGCTGATGGCAATCGATTTAACTTTATTTTGTGGTAATCTTGCAGGTCATATAACTCTCTACATGCATTGTCGACCCTTTTTTTTATAGATTTAGCAATTCTGCTACTTGTCAATGATTAAAGCTTGGAAAATCTTCCTTTTGTTTAATGCTACCAACTTAAAACACAAGCTTATCATGTACATATGATGTGTTCAAATGCAGATCTAAGTGCTGAGAGTAGAGTAGAGAAACCTCATTCTGTGTATGTTCCGCGTGATGAAACTTTTGAGGAAATCAAGCAAAATACATTTTCTGCTGGAGCTCTGAAAGCATTGTTTCACAATCTGATACCAGCTTTGATGGCTGCACTATCTAGTTCAGATAGCCAATTCGAGTGCTTTTCTGATATCGACAGGCTATACAAAGATGGTTTGCTTATAAAGAGCGAGGAGCAAAAACTTACTCAGAAACTTTTACTTCCTACGGTTCTCGGCAACTTGTTGAGCATGGGTGAAAAACTGATGAAATATGACATACCATCAATCATATCAAGTAAGCATAATGACAATATTTACTAGCGTAAACTCATATCCTAGCTAACGTGACTAAAAAATATTAGCTTATATTTTGTCCTAAAAGATGTCTCATTTTAGTACCATTATCTTATAAACCGCTTCTTTGAAGAAATATCTTTGCTTCATGACTATTTTCAGGAGACAGATTTTCTTGGTTGAGGGACAATGAATTTGCTCGGCAGACACTAGCTGGTGTTAATCCTGTAGATATTCAAAGATTAAGGGTATGAACATGCTATTTTCAGGATGCTGCTTTGTTATGCCAAAACCTCATTTTTTTTGCTTCCTACCCCAAATAATAATAGAAAAAGGCAATAGAAAAGAAAAGAACTAAAAATCTTTTAATATTACTCACATGGTATTTCTTGGTTGCAGGAATTTCCAATACGTAGTAAGCTAGATCCTGAAACCTATGGATCACCAGAGTCTGCAATAACTAAAGAATGCCTGGAGCATGAACTAAATGGAATGAGCCTTCAGGAGGTAATGATGGAGCCTATAAACTGTTCTTTTGGTTCTTATGCTGTTGTCCTCTCGTGATGGTTCTCTTTGCAACTCGTCGTGCAGGCAATGGATAATGACAGACTATTTATAATAGATTACCATGACATCCTTTTGCCATATGTTAAGAAGATCAATTCCTTGAAAGAAAGGAAAATGTATGCTTCAAGGACAGTTTTGTTCTACACACGTAGTGGCATACTCAGACCAATTGCAATTGAGCTTAGCCTGCCATCTACTCCATCAGCTTCAAGGAAAAGGGTATACACTCATGGGCATGATGCGACAACAAACTGGATTTGGAAATTAGCCAAAGCTCATGCCTGCGCAAATGATGCTGGTGTCCATCAGCTAGTGAACCACTGGTGAGCTGTTTTTGTGTTGAAGCATACTCACAATTTAGGATAGGTTAATATTAGTAGAATTAGAGTAATCAGATATGAATGTCGATTTATGCAACACGTGTTGCTCCATATTCAGTGACATTTTATGTGTTTTTGATAATTGATCAAAAACCAGAAACTACTTTAAGCATAAAAAACTAACATGCAAAATTTAGACCACTAATGTACATGTTGACTAAATTAAGGCAAAATACACATCCCTCACAGTCACAGTAATTGTCGAAAAATGTAGATGCACAAACACCCATATGATTACTTTCATGGTTGGTCATAGTTTAAATTCTGGTGTAATGTGTTCAATTGGTGTTCCTAAAAGAATATGGTTTTCAATTTTAGGTTGAGGACACATGCTGCCATGGAGCCCTACATCATTGCTACTCATAGACAGCTTAGTTCGATGCACCCAATTTTCATGCTGTTGCATCCTCACATGCGGTACACACTGGAAATAAATGCGTTGGCTCGCCAAAGTCTGATCAATGGTGGAGGAATCATCGAAAACTGTTTCAGTCCCGGGAAGTACTCCATGGAGCTGAGTTCGGCTGCATACAAGAGTCTCTGGCGGTTTGACATGGAAGCTCTTCCAGCTGACCTTATTCGGAGGTAAGCAAACTTTGGCTTTTAGTCCTTCAACATTAATCTGCTCATGGGCATGTTGTTTAGAACAAAGAATCTTATGGGTAATACTTTGAACTCTTTAATTTCCTTGCATTTCATTGAATTGTTTGTGCTTATGGAACAATCTTGCTTGGATGTGATGATTCTTGTAACTGTGAAATTCAGAGGCATGGCTATTGAGGATCCTTCGATGCCTTGTGGAGTAAAGTTGGTCATCGAGGACTATCCTTATGCTGCGGACGGTCTCCTTGTATGGTCGGCAATTGAAGACTGGGTCAAGGATTATGTCACCCACTACTATTCAGATGACAGTAGTGTGACTTCAGATGTAGAGCTCCAAGCATGGTGGGATGAGATAAAGAACAAAGGTCACCCTGACAAAAGAAATGAACCATGGTGGCCTAACCTGAACACCAAGGAAGACTTGATCCACATACTGACTATAATTGTGTGGACTGCATCCGGACAACATGCAGCAATAAACTTTGGCCAATACCCTTTCGGAGGTTACATGCCAAATCGACCTACGCTGATGAAGAAGCTCATTCCTCAAGAGGACGAACCAGAGTACGAGAAGTTCCTTCTAAATCCTCAGTACATGTTCCTATCGGCTCTGCCATCACAGCTGCAAGCCACTCAAATAATGGCGGTTCAGGATACGTTATCAACACACTCCCCAGATGAGGAGTACCTCGGTCAGGTGATCGAGTCACATGCACATTGGACGAACAACAGGCATATCGCGAGCTGCTTTGAGAAGTTCTCTGCGAGGCTGGAAGAGATCGAGGAGATCATAAATAGAAGGAACAAGAACTTTTATCTGAAGAACAGGAGCGGCGCAGGTGTTCCACCATATGAACTTCTTCTTCCCTTATCTGGCCCAGGAGTGACAGGGCGAGGGATCCCAAACAGCATATCAATATGATGTGATGAACTACTTCACGAGATTATTCTTCGTAGGACAATGGATCTTTCTCAGAGCTACCTGATGTGTGTTGCTTATACTAGTTTGTTGAATGCCTGTGAAGTAAAAGAGGAGAGATGAGAGATTGCTTTTGTTCAACCTATTTGTACGTATATTGTTCATGTTATGGCAAAACATCCGCACTGTTCCAGTTGGGATGAACTAAAATTGTTCCTTGGTTTTGCACTCTTTTGTGTCAATCTATGTGCCATTTCTCAATGATGATTCTTGTATGGGCTTATAACAGTGATAATTACTCTATCAAATTGCAGCTTTGAATCAATCACTCGATCACGTTCCATGTTTCTTGGTGCCTCTTCAATTTACAGATGGTTTCTAATAGCTCATCTATATCAAAGTCAGCACCATTGAATCAGGTGCAGGTCTACTTGTTAGCTTCTGCTTCAAATTCCAAGAAGGCAAATAAAACTCGATCTTACCACAGAAGATGTCATAGACATCAGTGGATCAGCCATATAATTCCACCAAGAAGGCACAGATCCTGGTTCTGCTTTGGAACAGAATAGGTCTCAACATCAAACACACTAAGCAAGGTAACAGTGAAGGGACTGATTCATGAGCAGCTCAAAGCACCCCAGCAGACAAATTTTCCTGGTTATGTTGAGCCTGGAGAGAGAGAGAGAGAGAGAGAGAGAGAGAGAGAACTAAATTGCTTTGGTTACAATTAGTCATCATAATCATAATCACGTTAAACTAGTGACTGCTACTCATTCGTGTCTACCCATCGTTGAGCACACAAAATTGAACTAAATTACTTGATAGAATGACTCTAAATTGAACTAGTTAGGACTACATCAGACATGGAGATGGAACATTATCAGCATCGCAAGCTAAAAACTTAAGCTGGTAAGTGGTGACTAACTCTAATATGTCCCCTCAAGTTTTCTAATATTTAGGAATATGGATTAAACTCTAGTCAATGTTCATCTATTTTCATTTCACACATGAATCTTTTTCAACATAGATTTTCTTTAAAGAAAAATCCTATTATTTCAAGAGTCTCTATAGCACAAAATGATGTGCCTTGTAGTGTTTCACGAATATTTTAGTAACATTTTTATTAATATAGATTAGTTAAGCATTTCATGAAAACAAGGTAGGTAGGTTTCCTATTGGCTAAAATGAGTTGGAATGAGATAAGGACAAATATATAAATTGTTTATAATGGGGCATCTACCAATCCATGTAATTTTTGTTCCTCATCTTTGCCCTTGTATGTATATATATATATATATATATATATATATATATATATATATATATATATATATAAAGGCACAGCTTGTCCAGTAAACATACACTATCAGTTCAAAATTAACTCGAAGTAGCCAAAATAATTACAATGAATACTAGAAGGAACTGAGTGTGATTACAATTTACTACTAACAAGCTAGTAATCGACGTTTCAAACTGCTCGGGTTAGCAAACAAGTAAACTTAAACTGAAACATGGTGACCAATCTCTACCTCCGCTATTTCTACACTACGAGTCCGACATAAAACTGTTAAGCATAGCTGTGAGTTTAGCGGTCTTGAAGTCATCTCTAAGTTGAATGAACCTGGAAATGGTATAGATAGTTAAGAAGCGGAGTATTAATAACTATTTTGTTTCGTTGATGAACAAATCTAGCTTGCTTAGAAAATGATCCGAGTGACAAAAGCTGGAAGTGAATACCTCGACGCATCTTTTCTGATGCTTGGAGTACCCTCAAATAGGGAAGCAAGGCTTTCAGGTGCCACAATGAAGACATTTGCCATTCTGCAAATGATAATGTGTTAGGCTGTGTATCATACAATACCAGCAAAAAACAAATGATAAGGAGGTATGACATACATGCCCAACAATTCAAAGGTTTCATCAATGGAAGGAGCATTGAAGCTGCGTACGAATTCCCCATACTCGGTGATGTCACGCTTCAACCGCAGTCCACCACTGTGAACAAGTGTTGGGAACAAGAACCTCAGATAATTCATTGAAGAATCAAATAGAAAAATTCAACCTTAAGACATTTAGATTCAAGTAATTTGAGACGTTCCTCCTTTCACTCAATCTTTTCCTACTAGAATAAAGGTTTAATGTCTGATGTGCCGGAGCCTTGCCCGTAAGGTTGGTACGGTGCAAAATGGTGCACCAACCAAGGCCTTGGGAAGGAAGTTATGCTTGGTGCACATTGTGAAGGCTGTGCACTGGCTTGGTATAGCATGCATGACAAGCACTAGAAAACACGGTAAAGATGAATGGCCAGCTGTTAACTTGAACTGTTTTACCGAACAAGAGAGACCTGTTGCAGTAAAGTTTTAGCCTTTGAAGCTGCTCTGGTTTCTTGAACCAAAGCAGACAATTATGGTCGACGGTAAGTTGGATTCTCCAGTTAGAAAGCTTCTCTATTTCAGCTTGCTGAATGAACAAACACCTCCCAGTCCTATGTGATAACCCCCTTTCAAACTTAATCAAGATCCTATGAGCATGTAGTTTACTGACATTTGAATTCTGATATTTTAAATAATTCAACTGAAGTACATGTGCTTCTTAGAAGTCTATTACATCTCTCCACTTATTAGACAAACAGTGGGCACAAGGCAGTGTCCTGGTGTGTATAATTTAAGCTTTGATAAATTTTTAGTGTGTGCTGAACCTGTTACATAAAAAGTTTGTAAGCTACTAACAACATAACCAACTTCAGATCAAGCTCATAGCAAAGGATCTTTTGAATCACAGACAAAAAAAGAGATTTCTGTGAAAAAGTTATGATGAAGAACAAAGTTTATATGAGTTAAAACTATGAGATATCTTGGACTAACTTTAGAGATCAAATATTGGGACATTTTGGCATTAAAAATTCAGTTTGATGACAAAAAAAGTTGACTGCCTAATCAGGCGGTTATGGTTGTCATTACCCAGTCATAGAAATGACCATTCTGACACCTAGGGACCGAAAACCACCTTAGTATATTTAGAATAAAAGAAGTTTGATTGCAATGCACACTACTTATTTAAGTATATTCAGTGCATGATAATAATGTATCGTTTTTCAGGATCAGGTTCCAACTCAGTTGAAAGGAATTTGCATTACTTATACCTCTATTTCAAAGGTTCAACACACCCTACTTTATAATTCTGTTTCTCAAATTAAGCATCCTCGGGCTGGAACTTGGAAGGGACAGAATCATATTCCATTGGCCTGGTTTGCATCCGGAGGCTGAACATTTGTTTATTATCGATATCATGTAGGAAATAGATGCTGTTTTCAAAGCAAGATGATAAGTAGAAGAATGTACCAAAGTGGTGGACAAACAACATATTGTTGAAGGCCTCTTGGAAAGAATTGGATGGCCAACTATGAATGGGGCAACATGTGGCCAGGGTCACAACGACCTGGTCAAGCGGCTTAGGACGATGGTTTTATTCAATGTGAAGAGAAGGCCATGTGGAACTAATACAATTACAGAAATGAACTTAAGAATCTAATGGTGATAATGGGTGCAATAATGATGCTAACAGAATTAGGACAAAAGAGGCATAATCTAAATCATAATATTCAGAAGAAATAAAGAAATAGTCGAAATTTTGAGTGCGCTAAAGTGCTAGAAAAAAAATATATGCTAATTAGAGAGGTTAATTATGGAAGTACAATAAATTTCTCTAATATGTAGGTATTATAAATGACTAGAAATATATTTAGATCAGAGGGGTAAGAACAGAAAATCATATATAATTATATGCATAAATGATGAAGACCAAACTTTCTAGAATAAAAAAATGAAATAAAAAACAGCATTCTAATAACGCAACATTAATAGAAATCATATAATGTTTGTGAAGGAAAAAAAACAGAGGAAGGTTAATAATGCCTTCAGAAAATGAAGAAAGTAGGCAGGCCTATAGAACTTGAATAATTAATAAGGGACATATGTGTATGGAGAGGAGAAAAGGGTTAATACTGATACTACCTTATATAACAAGCTTTAAGATTTACAAGAGCACAAAAATCCTAAAGTTCAATAGAGTAATTCACTAAATGTAATATTGCCCTCAAGGGCCTCAACACAGATAAATGATGTAAGAAGAATCATGTAACCAGCTGAATGGTTCAGACTTCAGATATCATGTATTTTTGTTGTAGTCAGTTTCTTGGAATCAATTCAATTTAATGTCAGCAAGGTCAAATCTATTTGTGAATACTTAATTGTTAAATTTTCTCCATAGCTGGTTCCAAGACCAGAAAAAAGAACTGCACTAGGCAACCTGACAGCCAATTGAGACCTAATGCAGTCTACAATCAGATGCACATATCTTCTGGCATAAATGAAAGTAAATGATAAGAAAACCAACTCACAAAGTTGGATCAGATATAAAATTACAAGCACTAGATATGTTAAGCTACACTCATGCAAAAGAGACAATGTAAGTGGACGCTGAGAATCAAAAGTGAAGGAATGAAGTGTGTAAAAAGAAGTTTGGAAGTCATATATCACAGATGCTAGAAAAGAAATTAAATCTAAGTCATGCTAGTAAACCTGATAAATATAAAAATACTAATGAGGGTTACATGTTCCAAGAACTAAGTGATGAAGATGTGGCTTTTGGATAAACCTAATTTCAGCTTGCCTTTTGCACAAATAACCATATGCACAGTTATAAACATAAGAATGACACACCTTAAACATATATAATGTCTTATAACATTGTAACTGGGAAATTTGGTTTATATATTGAACAAAGAAATTGATTCTTATATTGGCTTATTTATTTAAACAACCATTAAAAAAGACATAGCTTCTTTCTAAAATGGGATGCAGGTACTGTGTCATGATTGATACACAATATACAATGACATGACCATTATGAATGAGAAACCTCTAAAATGCGGAACCAAGAAGATGATTGATTGTAGAAAAACAAAACAAGATAAAGCATTTCATAGTCTTGTTGCTACATCATCATCTTGCATTTGCTCTGGTGGTTATAATCCTTGGATGGGATGGTCACATTTTTCACAAACCTCAGAAATAGGTTTTAGCAGACCTATCTATGTCTCATCTTTCTCGCAGAAGGTAGAATTGTCTGCAAGAATGATTTTTGATAATAATGGCATGTACTGAAAAATTACTTAAATGGTTACCTTGGACTAAAAGTAAATTTCTGCCAATGGTTACGGAGTTCCCATATGCAAGCGAGAGAATGATTACTGATAATAATGACATATACAAACAAACAACTTCAATGGTTACCTTGGACTAAAAGTGAACTTCTGCCAGTGGCTAAGTAGCCCCTTATGCAAGCGATTTCCCTGAAGTTACAGAACTCCATGTCACAAGTCAATATCTACTAAATGTGAGACTCATTTATCATGTATTGACATTAAAATCTCTGATTATTAAAGCATATAACACAAAGGCATATGCTGATTTATGACACAATAATTGAGCAGGCTACAATCGTATTATCGTGTTCACTGATCTTGAAAATAAGCACATAATCAGCATTCAACATGTTGCATTTCCATGTCTGTTTAACTGTATACCCAGAATCTTCTTCCCTATGATACAATTTAGGCATGTCTATTATTAGATAACTATTAATTAACTAATAATTCTGCTTAAACTTTTTCTATAATGCTAATATATCATGTTAGCCCTTAAATACAATTTAGCAGAAGTATTATGAGGCAGATTCTAAGAGAAAAGAGAGGTTCATACCATTTAAATATTTTAATTATATCAGAATTACAAATCATACTCTATAAGGTAAAATGGTGGATATTTTCAACTTCAAACATGCAGGACATACACAAATAAAGAGATTGGGTGTTGGCATACTAAATACTATAAGAATGAGGCAAAGCACTTATCATACTTTGACAAATTTTACCAATTGTTCAGTCAAAGTATGAAATAACTGTTAAAGATTTCCCACCTGAAGTTCTGAATTAGATATATAGACTTACCAGATCTGTCAAAAATGACTGTTTGTTGAGACCTTCTAGAGCACTGAATGCAGACTCAAGGACACGAGACAAGTAGGCTACAACTCTGAAGATGACCAAGAGACACATAAATAGTCATACATGAGCTGCCACAAGGTAACATAAACTCAGATGCACCTCATGCAGGCATTTGTCGGTCGGTGGTCAGGAGCATTTCCATCGTCAGGTGAACGGTAGTCTGTGGTCTTCTGTTCTGAAGATAGCAATCGCTCAACCTGTATAAGGTCCATATGAGACTAACAAAATTAGATAGCAACATTTCCATGGAATTTGAAAGTGAACAATTTTCCATGTGAAAATTAGAAATGGAAAACATAAGACATGAGCGGTTATGCTGAAGACAGAAATCCAGAAATCATATAATGATTCTGACACTGCATAGCAAGGTTCTGAATACCGTCTGATGCAATGCAATATGGTACAGGTGGTATTTATCAGTCCAACAGTCTATCGGTATGTGGACCAAGATAAACCAGGTGGTACACCCAGTACAGGGGTTATACCGTTTGGTACAGAGCCTGTACCACCCAGTACATCTGGTACAGGGACTGTACCATCTGGTACAAGTCGGTATAAGTTTGTTACAGGACGGTAAGAGCAATTTTAGTTTTTCAATTCCTACTTATTAAAGTTCCAGGGCTTTTACTTTGAGGAACTTCTAATAAATTAATTTAAACTGTTCATTTAATAATTTTCTTGATGTTGCTAAAGTTGCCTTCCACTTATGTGGTCTTAGTCCTCAATCTGGAAGCCTCAATTTCAAAAATTTATCTCACTCCAATCTAAAGTTTATCCTTACTAATAGTTTATCAAATATTTCATCAATAAACAACATACACTATGGAGCTTAATTGTGATTGTTCCTAATTAATTAGTCAATTACAAAATGTGATGATTCAAACTTATTACTTCAATGAAACCCTTAGTAATTGGGAGCTGTCTACTTGTGTCTTCTGTTTTCCTACATTGGTGATTACTTCAATCTTGAATCAGTTAGTCAAGAAAAGTAAATACTAGGTCGAATTTGGCAGCCCGATCATAAGCCAGATTGATATTTAACAATTGGAACACAAGCCACCGATGACAAACAAGCAAAACTGACCCAAACTGTGCATTAAGATATATTATATGTGACTATCTCTGTCCAAAATACACCCCAAGATTCAATGGAAAAGAAAAATAAACTTGTTTAGAACCATAGGGTTATCTTATAACATGACAGTGAAATGGACAAATTCCATTTAAATCTGATCCAAAATGACATGATTTGACTTCAATTCAATCCTCATAAAATCAATGCTACCCATGTTTTATTTAATGCCTCAGTAACCTAATACTTTCATAATCAAAGTTGTGTCCGAAGAAATATAGAGAAAGGTGGATGGTTCAACTACCATACAGGAAAACAACGGAAATAAGACCTGGACAAATACTGACCTCAGCCATGACAGTATCGATACACTGTTGAAGGCCCTTCTGAGCAGCACCCTCAACATTAGAGACAGCTGTGCCCATCTCTTCAAGGGAGGCTGCATGAGCATCAGGAGGTAGGAGCCGAGAGATAACTTTTGAAAAATACTGAGGGAAATAAGCAACCATCAGTGCACATCTTACATACTATTATAAGCAGTTAAGACAGTCTGGATGGTATACTTGCTGAAGTATTGCCACACTACTACCACACCGTTGCACAGCAACCATGAACGATCTGAAACTACTCTCACCAGCAGCAGCAGCAGCCTCGGCCTGCAATCAAGAAAATTTGCTAGTCTTATATACTAGTGTATGCCATTGAAATACATCTAATGGAATAATGGAGGATATGAATGACAAACAGAAAAAGGTGAGCATGAAGAGAAAAATAAAATAAGGATAACCATACAGCAGAAGCAGCTGCTGCAGCGACCCTTCTACTGACACTTGCTCCAATAACGAATCTATCCCTTAAAGCTGCAGCTTCATTCAAACTCTCCCTGGCCCGTTCAAGTCCCCCAGTTAAATACTGGCTAACCTGTAATGAAGTCAGCATTCTATCAAAACAATTATCGAGGAGATAAGCCAACATAATCAACATGATTAAGGCCTCAAACATACTTGCTCCAATAAACAGGCAAACATCGATCTTACGTTACTTGCAAGAGTAGCTGGCTGCAAAAGCAATGTTTTCTATCAATTAGCCATCAACAAATCAAGGAATGAGATATTATTAAGCACAGTATGGAGACAAGTTACGATCATAATATAGATTTTGTGACACAGTCAAATACATAAAGGTCACCCTAGAGGCTTTCCAGGGAGTGTTGGATGCTCGAACAACTCTTAAAGCCAAAAGGCAAAAGAGAGGACCTAAACAAACCAGTGATTTAAAAAACGCTAGGTGCCAAAAGGCACCACGGTCCAAAAACACCTGAGGCGCTAGGCGCTCGCCCGAGCGAAAGTGAGGCACTAAAATATAAAAATATATAATATAATTAATACATATAATTATTTAAGATTTTAAATAAAAATATGTTATTAAATTAAGAAAATCTAAGATACAAAATCACAATGTCACATTAACAAAAAGTTTCAAAATTCAATAAATATAAATTTTGTTACTAGTATACAGTTAATAGTATACTGTATAATATCAACAGTATACTTTCGAAAGAGGAGAAGCGAAAGAGAAGAGAAGAGTGTAAGGGAAGACTGACGGTGCTAACTGAGAAAAGCAGGAGAGGCAGCGGTAGCGGCAACGACGAGCAACGACAATGGCAACGACAGTGGTAGCAACGAGTAGCGGGAGCGGGAACGGCGACAGTGGCAGCGATAGCAGCGAGCAGCGGCAGCGGGAGCAGTGACAATGGCAGCGGCAGCGGTAGCGGCGAGCGGCAACAGTGGCAGTGGCAGCAGTGAGCAGCGGGAGCGGAAGCGGCAAGCGGCGACAACGGCAGCGACAACGGTAGCGTGAACGACGAGCAGGGTTAGGGTTGGGGAAGTCGCACTGATATCGGTGCTTTAGTTGGTTCGATTGAACCAACTAAAGCACCGGAGACCGAACAAGACCTAAAAAGCTGGTTCAGTCACTTGGTTTAACCCAGGCGCTCGCCCGAAGTGCCCGGCACCTGGGCTTGGGCGAGCGCCCAAGCGGCGCCTCTTTGAAGCGCGCCGCCTAGAAATGAAGCGAGGCGCTCGGGCCTCGCCTCGCCTCGCCCGAGCGCCTAGGCGAGCGCCTTTTTAAATCACTGAAACAAACGATATGTCACCCATGTATGATCAAATTGTTGCCACTATTGTTAGTTTGATTCTAGAGTGACAAATTGTATATCAATATCGAATATCGAATATCGCGAGAGTAGTATCATGCATGGCTTTTCAAGCTACAATTATCATCAACACAATTGATTGATATTATGGACCATGATCCACTTCTTGCTCAATCACAAGGATCCCTTCCGTGGTATTAGTCATCAATAAGGTAGTATGTTCTTTTTTACTTTTTAAATGTATTTACAAGTATTTCAAATATTCAATTAATTTCCTGCTCTAGCACTTCTAGAAGCTTTTTATGCATGTTTCTTGGTATATCATTTACAATATATCTTATGACATATTTCGAATCATGATTGAGCAACAAACGGAAAGAAGAAATTCTATTAGATTTAAGAAGTCTGAAACTGGTCTGGCTGGTTTGGAACCAGCCCACTTAGTCCAACCGATACCAACCAGTACAGGACCAAACTGACACATGGTATAGTTCATTACCAATATCAGGTCCAGCCATTGACTGATATTTGAATTGTGTTGACATTTTAATTTGTGGCACCAAGGGAATAACTCTTTGAGGAATGAACTGCCTAATCTAGCAAACATGTGTTAGAAGACAACATGAAAGTTCTCTTCCAATATTCACCAATATTTCTAGTGAAAATCCTTTTTCCATGAAGACAATTCCAGCAAACATATTAAAATGTAACAAGGATATCTCTCTTATCCTTAAGGGGAAACTGTGATCATAAAAACCCACAATTGTTGACTCGTACAACTTTATTTCTCTCAAGGACTTTAATGAATTGGAAAAAAATTTGAATAAAAAAAGGCAAACAATTAAGGATGACTGTTACTAAAGCTGTTGATCAATGCTAACTGCTATGAAAAGAATAACCTAATTCACAGACTACAATCCTGCAGACGTTTTGAATATAATGTTAAATGATTATTAACATGTCTTGTTTACCTTCAAATACAGTTTTCATTTTATCATTGGTGTTGCACAAACTGCTATAGGATGTGAAGAAAATACAGACATAAAGTCCGGTATAGGATGTGTAGAAAATACAGACAGTTGACCAACAAATATAGTTTCTGATCATGTTACAAATATTTAATAAGACAATGAAACCATCAGACTCCGATACACACTGAACTTCATTAATTACCAGTATCCATTAAGTGAAACTTCCATCGGCCATCACCAACTACACTTAAAATAAAGTGAACTAAATGCACAATCTAGTACTAACCTGTGAAGAGAATAAAGTACATCTGGATATTGCTTCTTCATTCCACCGCACAAATTCTGTTACTATAGTAACAGATATCTGTTGGCTTGCAGATGGACTTATAGATGCTTTTGAACGTGAGATGGTCCCCATTGATTCAGATTGTTGCTGGGCTTCTGCACGCAGCTCCTCCAACTGTAGCACAAGCTAAGAATTGTTAGTACTTATACACTACTTATGGACAAGTAAAAAACCTTAATTTTGAAACAGAATAATGATTTTCTATCAGCACATATGACATAGAACCTTCGATTGATACAGCTGATTTAGAGAAGCTTGCTCGTATTCTGGATATTTATCTTTGTGCGAAAGAAACTGTGATTCTGTAAGACCTGAAGAAGATAGGATATATGTTCTTGAGTAGGGTAGTCTCATAGGTAAAGTGAAGAAAAAACTGTACATCCATACAAATGCTTGCAAAGGTTTCTTTTATGCTGGAAAGAGTTGAAATTGCTACACAGAAAGCCCATCTCCAAAAGAACATTCATCAGAGGTTGGGTTGAGTCGGTTGACAATCTTTAACACATTCTCAAAATCCTTTATTTGCCAAAATACATATTTAGTATCTCATTGTTTGAATCTTGAAAATATCCATTGTATATAAGCATATCAGACATTAAACTCAAACTAAAGGTTTCAAGCCAAACAGCACCATTTTGATTAGGACCCTGCAGATAGATCGGGAACTCTGAAAACTGCCAACCTGATTATTACAGTAGTTAGGTCAACTTAGCTTTCATCAGATAGAAACATGCTTCAGCCTTGATTTGGCTATAGTCAAGAACTTGGTTCAAAGAATACTCTTGATTCACAACCATTCTCCTCAGACTATCCTTCCTCCTCCTTCCCACTCAATTTAAAGTCGAAGACACAAGAGCCAATTTTGATCTTAGTGGTGCTATATCTGATTATCTCATCCATCACCTGATTCTGGCTGAACCCCATCCTCATCAGCAGCAGCAAGATCACAAGTCTTGACATCAATTGTGAAGATGTTTTGTTGTGCATTTTTTAGCATTAGGACAACAGGGATTGATACTATGTGGAGTCTCTTCTGTTCACCTCCTTTGTGATACTATGTGGAGTGTGGCCATAGTCAAATAGATAGTCCATTTATGTTTGTATTGGATGTATTGTTTTTTCAGAATTTCTGGTTGAAGAGATGACTGAGATGAACGCTACATGCTCCTGGCAAAAAGGCTGTCCAATGCAAGGATTGAAATATCGTACCATACCGGAATTTCGACATTCGCTCGATACGGTACGATACTGTATACCGAGCGGTATACCGCTCGGTATATATATATATATAAGATTATATATAAATATTTATATATAAATATTTTTATAAAAGGTAACTTCACGTCGCCTTTTCCTTCTTCCACGCGGGGCAACGTCACCTTTTATAAAAA